TTAACGATTTCTCATGGTTCTAAATCTCATCGTAGTATGTTCGAAACACATGTGCGATCAATAGACTGCGGATTTTTCGGCGAAATAAAAATCCGCTGCATCGATTGCAAGAAATAGAAACTGTATGCCAAGTTCGCTGTTTCTTTAATTATTTTAATTGATGGAGAATAGTACATTGATATTTTAAAATTCTTTCATTCTCTCTTCTGTCTTAAATTGCAACTATTTAATTTTGACGTGCAATGCAGTTTAGTTTATTAATATATCCGTGTTATAAACCGTGTACTTTTTTTACGCGTCGCACATTATTATAAATAGCTACACTATCTTTATATCGGTGTATGTACCAATAATTGCAAACATTCAGAAACACGGACAAGGTAAAAAGACGTGTTATGGAACGCTTTTCGGACAGTATAAGATTATCATCGATTTCATTGCAGCTGAAAAGTATTGTCATCGAAGATTTATATTATCGTTCGATAGATCGACGTTTCCATATAACGTAACGCACTCTGAAATGTTCATTTAACACGTATAAAAAATAATGCGAGCAAAGCACGAGCATGTACCCAATATGGAACACCGTTTTCGTACCATGTCCCCGTGTTCCGATTGATCGGTGTTCCGTGGCTACTTCTACCTTATATTAATTACACTCGTATACGAGTATCCTCAATACGCGCTGAAAATCGAGATCCCTGGCCCGAAGGCACGGCGGTCACGTTTAAAAAATTCCGCGAGCGGATCGATGGTAGCTCGGAAGCCAGGCTCGCCGTAGGATCAGGCAAGAAGGAAGCTGTCAAATCTTGAAACCCGACGACGGTCGTGACGCATATCGGAGACGTTGCATAATTGAGCTAGCTCCCGAAAGAAATTCCTAGAGAGAAAGAGAGGCGGAGAGCGGCGCGAGAGCACGGAATCCAATTTGGGTCGAATGAGAACCAGCGAGATGAGAGCCGCTGCGGTGCTCCCGCGGGACCACTGGGAGCAGTGGGAAGCCTCTGTACCCGTGCTGGGGCTATACCCGGCTACACCGCGGCGCGGCGGGTCGCCGGGAGAGGGAGAGAGCGAGAGCGAGAGAGAGAGGGAGAAGGAGAGACAGGCTAGGGAGAGGGAGCGGGAGAGGGAGGGGGCTACACTCCCCAAGGAGGTAATTACCCTCCCTACGTTCGCCCCAGCCACCCACAAGCCATCGCAACTTCAACTCCTGCCGGAGTTACATGCTAATACAAAACCAAAACCGGTTCCCAACAGCTTCGAGTACCGTCGAAATTTCTATACGTATGCGCGTGTCCCACCGGCGAGAATCGTAATGACGTCGAGGACCCCCGAACAGTCGAACCCTTGTCGACGGGTGCGCGCGATTTGAATCCCGAATGGGTAACCGGCGAATTTTCGAATTGCCCCGAACCGAACCTCGCCGCCCCCGCTTCCCACATCGGCGTTCCGCAGCGGCCGAAGTTTTTCGGAAGACGCGAACCGAAATTGCAAATTGGCGGTGGAGAATTGGAATTGCATGGCTCCGCTCTCTGTTTGTAATTGTTGGTGGCTCGCTGGGGAAACCGGCAAGAATTGATAGAGGCAGAGAGAGAAAGAGGATGAATGGTCGAATGATTTTTATCTGTAGGCAAAGCTTTTGGCAGGAATGCAGTAAATTCTCCTTAATTTTCCTGCAGCTTGTAAACAAAAATGGACAATTTGGGAAAACGAGATACGATTATTCGAGCCTTGCGCCTCGCTTTTATAATTGTTGACAACCGGCAGCTATAAAAACGAGCTGAATAATCGCATCTACTTTTCCCTAATTGTGCCCATTTTTGTTTGCAGGCTGAAGAAAAATCGGGGAGAATTTACTGTGCACAGCTTCTAGGAACATCGTGTAGGAATTCCTTGTAGGAATTGATTGAAAAAGTGGCAAGGGTGTCGGACCTGTTAAATTGTGATGTAATTCTGGGCCGGCTGTCGGAAGATTGATGATCGGAACAGTTAATTTCGGCTTCTCTAGGCGGTTCAGCCGGTTGTTTATGGGACTTAGGGGTCCGCGGGGTTGGTTTTACCGACTGCCGAGGGGTGCGTTGGCGTTCTTTTAGGGAGTGAAACGCGGCCAGTGATTGGATTAGCCGGATATCGAGTTGGCAACGTTTTCGTGGGTAGGATTGCCATTTCTCGCCGCAGCAATTCTTTCGCTCTCGTCTTCGAAACCGACGAGGCCATCGGAGCGAGGGAACGCTTGTTCAATCATTAATTAGGTGAACGATTTCGGTAAAAAAATGTACGGTTTTAGAGCCGTCGATAGCCAACGGTGGACTTAAAAGCTGCCATTTTTATGATCAATACAACGGACGCATCTGATTCCGACGTAATGGCGGTTCCTGAAATTGCGCGACGAGGTACGTGCGCGCGCTCGCTCGCTTGCAAGCGTGCTTTTTTTTTTATTTTTTTAAGCTCGTTCACCTGGTATATTTCGGTAGCAACGAGAAACTGATTACCAACAGTGTCCCAAGCGCGGCCTTGGAACTCCCAAAAGTCATACTCGTAAAAAAAGACTATTGTACACCGCGGACTTCCGGGTTATTTATACGAGTTATCTCTTCTCTGAAACCGCGAACCGCGCGAGCGCGCGCGCGCGCGAGCTCGCTCCTGCAGCCATGCCGTTGCCGTGGCTGTTCTGTTCTGTTCTGTTCTCTTCTGTTCCCGTTCCCCGGCAATGTTCGCGGCCCGGTGACTTATGAGCGATGATAATTCCAGCAGCTTGAGTGCCGCAGCTTTTCATGCCCCGGCTACTTACCCCGTAATTCACCCGGCGTCTCCGTCGTCTCTCTCCCCTACCGCTCCCCCATCCCGTTCCACTCTCGGCGTCTTATCATTGAATTATTCCCGCGCCTGGACAAACAATTAACTCACCTGGTCGCGCGGACCACCCCCGCGAATCGACCTTCCTACCGCAGCGATCTTTAGCCTTACCTGCGCGCAAACATTTTTTAATATAACCACGGCGAGCGTGGGCTCTGGAAACCTTGCGAGTACAAAGGTCGGCATATAGTGACAGCAGTTCGATTGCATCGGATTATAATATCAAATCGTCTCCTGTTTTTAAAAATATTTAGAGAACGAGACAAGTGCATGCAGGGTAGTGGAGCCAGTGAAAAAATGCAAGGTTCGCTTCAAAATGCTGTAACTCTGCGAGAAAAAATTGCAGCTACGTTTCCTTTTTTTTACATCAAAGCGGAAGGATCAAGCTTCATTCGACGGTAAACGGCATCCGTGAACAAAATTTTACGAAGTTCGTGCATTTCGTTAAACTTGGCAATTTTCAATATGTCGATTTTCAATATGTGGTCTCACCTTTAAAGGGTTACAGTGACGGGGGTGCGTAGAACTTAAAATCCAGAAATATAATCTCAAAGTAGAGGTTTTAAGCTTTAATTTAAGAGAAAAGTCATCATTCTACGATGATTTTTCGCGAAGTTATCGTCGGTCGAAGCTGGTCAATTTTTATCAAAAATTTTTCTATGCTATGAGTTCCTTCAGCTGTTCGAATATATACAAAATGAAGGAATACAAAAATATTGATATGTCTTATTCGATAAATATAAGGGTGGAATTAACCCTTTGCAGTCGAGTGGCGATTCCAAGGCACCGCTAAATATTGTCACGTCACGTTCGAAAATACTGTTAATACTATCAAATTCGTTTATATTCAAAGGAACCGTAAAAATTGTAATCGTTAAAATTGCACGAGTCACAAAATTCAATGTCCATGCGTATAAAATGCACCAGGCTACATGAAATAGAACAACTATTTCGGATTTCGGGTGAAAACGGCTCCGACAGCAAAGGGTTAATGGACGAGGTCTGAACCCGGCGACAGGAATTTTCTTTCTAAATTTTCCAGGATTTTCCTCTGTAAAGCGGCGGAAGAACGAGCGAGTTAGCGGAATTCGCGAGCGTTTATCGATAATCGTGCCCGGAGTCGCACACAGCCGTGAAAAACTTGGATCACGAACACGGCTCGCGGCCCGTGGTTGTTTCGCGCAAGTTACGCTTAAAGTTGCGCATACGTCCGGTGGGAAATTTGAATTTTGGCCAGTTTTCCTCGATGTTGGCCCAAGGTGGTTCGGTCTCCTATGCGCAGGAATGGGCTATGGGAGCCAATATCACCGGGGTATGGCTCCCACGGGATCGCCTCGTCTCTTTTCCACCCCTTTCTCGTATTATACGCATCCGTGTGGCAAAAGGGTCGTATGCGCCCATGCTCCTGCCCATAGCCAGAACCTGACCCCCTGTCCGTGCCCCGTGTGTCCCGACTCCCGACTTCGTTCTGCTCGATCGCTCCAGGTCCCATGAAATTTCAATGTTGACCTCTATTAGGGTCCACGGAGTTACGCGATTGGATTTCGGGGGACTGATCAAACGTGACGGAGACGATCTGCCCCTCGATTCCACGATCCAACCTAATTTCTTGGACCATTCTTCGCCGCCTTCTTTCACGTCGACCTTGATCACCGGATCTTCATAGAAATCTCAGATTTTCGAACCAGAATGACGAACAAATTCGATTTACCGCGCTGGAAGATCGCTTATGATAATAATAAGACAGCAATGTCGTAATCGTGTGTTAATATGCATGTCGACTAGCAGTTCAACCCTTTGCCGTACCTAACGCAGTAGTGGATAATTCTATGCAAAAATTTATTAAGAATCAGTTAAAAATATAATTTTAGTTATAACTCTTGCGATTTATTTCTTGTGATTTTTCTTCTCTGGCTAGACATAAAAATTCAGTAAAATTGAAACAGTGGTCCTTTAAATGGGAGCTGCAAGAGGTTGAAAATGCACGTCCTCTAATGATCGTGGATCACTCCAAACCTAAAACGTCAGCTAATATCTTGGAGCATGCCGTGAACATGCTTGAGAAATGTCTAAAGATGCAAATCGATTTCAGAATCAGTTTGCCTTTTTCCGATACTAATACGGTCGTGATTTTTTGTGTGCAGACTATCTCCAAGATGGCAGGCCGTCGTCGACGCAGGGTCCGGACCTAGAGAACCACAACAGCCTCGACAGCGGTGAGTTTTGATCAGAAGTTTTGTTCTCCGTGGCTGGTGCACCGGCGCGGCTGGGCGTTCTTCTTGTTCCCGTGGCGATAACTCGGGCGACAGACCACGAAAACCGACCTCGAGGAGCCCCGATACAACCGGGGCTCTTAGGCAGTCCCGTGACCCATAAAAATCTCGAAGATCCTAACAAGCGGCGAAGTCTCGGCGATAAAGAGGGTCGGCGCGTCGCCTCCCTTCTTGTTTCCCCGGCCTCGATGCCGCCCGCAAAGATGCGGGACTGAATTTTTCAGGCGGCGAGGGTGAGATAGGGCGCCCACACCTCGAACAGGAGTTCGACCGTGTTAGCGAGCGATTCCCGGCGATAAACAGCGCGAGGATCGCAATTAACGCGCGCCGACGGAACTTCGGAATCTCTCCGCTAAATCGGCGAGCAGCTTGAAACGATCGCGCGAATTTCTGCGAGACGGAGGAAGAACTTCGAAATCGTCTAGCAGCACCGAGATCCCGTTTCGCCGTTCGCTTGTCCGGTATTAATTGACCGAAAGAATCGTTCGATCGCTGCATAATGAACGGCCGCCGAAATGGCGACGATGAAACATTAACAAGCCGCGCGAATGCTCCATTTTATTCCGCAAATGATATTCGCGTTCATTAAATTTCCGCGGAGACGCGTCCCCGTCGACGGGGCCAGAAACCGGATCGAGCAATTATTTATCGTTGAAATATTAATGCCGATCGAAAAACAATCGACGGAACGGGCACGCTCATTTGGTATTCGATTTGTCTAGCACCGACGGCCGGTTTAATTCGAGCGGGACCGAATGCGACGGCATTCGAAACAGTCTTTCGCCAGGCTTAAGGTTTCCATCGGGCCCCGGGGACACTTTCAGAATTGACTGCATATTCGGCTGGCTCTCCTACGGCCACGAGTTTCCACGAATTCGACATACGCTTACGTAATTCGATTACCGGCCGGGTAACAGAGGACCCAGTTCGGTTTCACTCGGTTTTACTCGACCAATCTCCCAAGTCCATTACTAGACACAGGAATATTGTCACAGACACAATTAACTATTTCGTTTGATTGATCTAGGACAGCGGTCCGTGCGCCGGGGATGCGCACGCGTCCCGTTCCCACGGGAGCCCGGGTCCTCGTTGAGGAACGCGTAAATTTTATCCTAAATTGCACCCATCCCCGCGATCCTGTGTGCTCTATCGAAAAGGACCGAAACAAGTAGCACAATCCCTGGCGCAATGCAATTTTTCCCATTTTCCAATTCTCCGAACGTGCCGCGAGCTTATTAATCCCTGGAACTACGATTCCTTTCACAACTGATCAACCCTTCTGCCTCGTTATTAATCATCCGAATAGAAGAAGACAAGTTTTCTTTCTTGTTTGTCTTGATTTACTTTCACTCCTCGATCTTGATTTTCTTTCGATCCAGATAAAAATTAAAGGACAAGAAATTAAAAATTAAAAAATTTTCACTATTATTGCTATTTTTATTATTATTATTTATTTAGTATTTCCAGGCTGCAAGCGTAAAGAAAGTACAATAAGTTCGCAGGTGATAGTTTAATAACAGCATAACAATAAAATAAAAACGAATGCATCAAGATTAAAGAAAATTTAGATTTGTCGTTCCACATTCGCGACAGAGCGTTTAAATTAGGTTACAGAAAAACCCAGAGACTGAAATTAACATGCGATCTGTCCGATGCGTCCGAAGCACCGATTAGAGAATTTCTTCCGGAGGTTCCGTCCAGGCAAAATAATTCGCAAAAATCTGTGGCATAGTATCGAACGACCGAACAACAGTTGGTAAGCCCAGGGAGATTTTTAATCGGGAGATCGAGAACGGAAGGACAAGCTGAGCCTGTTTGCCGGCCGAGCAAACAGCGTGCTCCTCGAGAGCGTAATCGAAATTGCGGCCGGACGACGAACGAGTTTCCGCGGATTCCGTGATGCGGCCGCGGTGATTCGATTACCGTCGACCAACACACAGGGATTCAGCTTCGCTGTCGGCTCTAGAGCTGCGGAGGAAGTTGAGCAGGCTCCCTGGCCCGTGAATAAGACCGAGAGGGTTGGCTTTTGGCCTCGAGCTAGCCGCCCTACTCGCCCTCGCCGACAACGCACTCCTGGGAAGACGCGAATGTGTCCCTTTAACTGATGCTTCCGGCCACTGGCGCTCTTCTTTCACCTGGATAGCGTAATTAGAGAATTTTTATTTTGTTCATTTATTTATTTATTTAGTCCCATTGGTACGCTGTATTTGAAAGGTATCTGTTCGGTTGTGATAGAGAGCAGAGTTCGCAAGAAAGGAGTGAGATGTAATAGAAGTATAAAATTCGCGTATAGATTAAATGGATATTAATTTACAAAGTCATAGATCGTAGACTCGGTTTCTAAAGACAGAAATCTCAGTGCCGAAAATGTTTAACGACGCGTCATTCCAACCAAAAATAGGATCTCTATTTATTATTGTTTACTTACTATTGCTCGTTTACTTATTATCGTTCATTGAAAAAATAAAAGAAATGTTGGCACCTAGAACAGTTCTCTTCAAAATAGGCTTGCCGATTAATGCGTTAATTGACTTGTGCGAACGTCGGAATCTCGGAACTCGCTGTCCAGTTTCTTCTGTGTCTCTAGATTCGATCAATTTCTCGCTAAAACGAGTAGACCGAGTATCGTTGAAATTATCAAGGAAAGAGACAGACAGAGAGAGAGAGAGAGAGAGAGAGAGAGAGAGAGAGAGAGAAAGTGTCTACCGGCAGAGAATGTTGATTTTGCACAAAGAACCCCAGTCTAGCGACCGGTGTTATTTGTCAAATGTGCTTTAATGGCAGCCAGTTCCGGCCGCGCGGTGAAAAGATTGAATATTCGGCGAGAGACGAACATCGAAATGCTTTATCGAATTTGCAATTGCGGTTGGCGGGGGCGAGGAAGGGGAGGGCGGCGAGGGCGGCGGCCGATAATAAACGATGTTGCTTAACTTGGACTGTATCTGACAATTTTAATTAACGGACAGTGCCGTGTAAATTTTGTTTATTGAGCCCACCGCGGATAAATCACCATTTAATTATAAGGGAAATCAATAGAATTCAATTAAAAGTCGTGTACACGGGACCGCGGGTATTATTCCTCCGGCTGGCAAAAGGGACAGTTTGTTTAACAGGCTGAAAATTTGTTGCAACCGGGCTGCCGACCGGTTAAGAAAATCAGGGGAAAGGGGAATCGCCGGATTTAATGGGATACGCGTGCACGTGGAAACACAGTTTGTACTTTGGCCGTGCACACAGGCTCGGCTCGTCGACCGAGCAAACACTTAATTAACCCTTCAAGTTCTCTGCCACCTAACCCGACGGTACCTTCGGCCAGTGAAATAGTACTTCGAGCACAATGGGTTCGGTAAGATTCATTAAGAGTCAACCGCGATTTCTAGTTACATACGTTGTTGATACGGTTGCTCTGTTTCATTCGCGAGCTCGTCAATGAAAACTGCCATTATTGCCTGCTGGCAGTTCCTTTTGTTGGAACTATGGACACGCCGTTAAAAAGAATTGCTCTGTTTTATTCAGTAGTCAGTCAATGAAAACTACTATTTAGATTGCTAGATACATACCGTTGCTACGCCATTGCTACGATTGCTCGACTTTATTTATTAATTCGTAGTCACTATAGATACGGTGTCGTTAGAGTTGGCCTACTTTATTCTCCGCTATTCCATATTACCATCAACTAGCATTTCCATTCCCATCTACTAGATTCGTAGTTACCGTGGATGCGCTATTGCTAGGCTCGCTCCGCTTCATTCGCGAGTCCGTCACTGGGAACTACTGTCGCAATTACTCTTCTCACAAACACAGATTTCGCCGGGATCGATCGCAGTTTGAATCTCGCAGAGAAATTTTTGCGCGGCACTTTCGGGGCGTTAACGACTTCCTCGCCGTTGCACAGTCTAAATCGAATCGGATCGGCCGTCGAGCGATGTNTTGTGATAGAGAGCAGAGTTCGCAAGAAAGGAGTGAGATGTAATAGAAGTATAAAATTCGCGTATAGATTAAATGGATATTAATTTACAAAGTCATAGATCGTAGACTCGGTTTCTAAAGACAGAAATCTCAGTGCCGAAAATGTTTAACGACGCGTCATTCCAACCAAAAATAGGATCTCTATTTATTATTGTTTACTTACTATTGCTCGTTTACTTATTATCGTTCATTGAAAAAATAAAAGAAATGTTGGCACCTAGAACAGTTCTCTTCAAAATAGGCTTGCCGATTAATGCGTTAATTGACTTGTGCGAACGTCGGAATCTCGGAACTCGCTGTCCAGTTTCTTCTGTGTCTCTAGATTCGATCAATTTCTCGCTAAAACGAGTAGACCGAGTATCGTTGAAATTATCAAGGAAAGAGACAGACAGAGAGAGAGAGAGAGAGAGAGAGAGAGAGAGAGAGAGAGAAAGTGTCTACCGGCAGAGAATGTTGATTTTGCACAAAGAACCCCAGTCTAGCGACCGGTGTTATTTGTCAAATGTGCTTTAATGGCAGCCAGTTCCGGCCGCGCGGTGAAAAGATTGAATATTCGGCGAGAGACGAACATCGAAATGCTTTATCGAATTTGCAATTGCGGTTGGCGGGGGCGAGGAAGGGGAGGGCGGCGAGGGCGGCGGCCGATAATAAACGATGTTGCTTAACTTGGACTGTATCTGACAATTTTAATTAACGGACAGTGCCGTGTAAATTTTGTTTATTGAGCCCACCGCGGATAAATCACCATTTAATTATAAGGGAAATCAATAGAATTCAATTAAAAGTCGTGTACACGGGACCGCGGGTATTATTCCTCCGGCTGGCAAAAGGGACAGTTTGTTTAACAGGCTGAAAATTTGTTGCAACCGGGCTGCCGACCGGTTAAGAAAATCAGGGGAAAGGGGAATCGCCGGATTTAATGGGATACGCGTGCACGTGGAAACACAGTTTGTACTTTGGCCGTGCACACAGGC